TTTCGTGCAGCGCACTATTGGTCACAAAAGATGTTCCAAAAACTAAATAATAACTTGATTTTTTTTTCGTGCATAGCACGGGTGACCAGCAAACTTCTCCTGTCTCGAGAGCTAGGGCACGACCACAACATCTTTGAGGATGTTTCTATGTCGCGGAAAGAATCAAGAAAGGCTTTGGCTACCTAACGCCAGCTAGAACCCAGCGTCGGTGGGACTGCTCGGATCACTGCGTACGGCGGTACGGGTCCAAAAGGAGTTTTGACCGTGTCGATGAAATCCAGTCTACAACAAGAGGCTATTAACGCCGACTGGTCAGCGACACACGCTCCAGATGGTTTTATCCCAAAACCATATCTGAAGACTTCACCAAACGGAATCGACGACGTGAGCATGTAAGAATCCAATTACTTTCAGCATACACTTTCATTTCTCAATTTATGATTTTTCTCTTTTGCTTTCTTTATTTGGACTGAACATGTATTCGGGCGTAATCGCAAAAGAAATGTTAGAATTGTGTTGATTAATTTTTTTTGACATTCCACCGTTTGGATAAGTATTACTCCGTATATAGTTTAATTTTTTTCAATATATCTTACTCCGTGTATATAATATCTATCTCTAAAGACTATAATGTGATTGATATTTATGAAAAATATATAAATAATAAAAACTACAAATTAACTACTTTAGGAGAAAAGTTTTAACCTTTTGGACATTGAGAAAAAAATTATAAGGTCCAATGATAGTATTTCGTTTACATTTCAAGTAACAACAATTTTGGTTACAGGAAGGAAAACTACTGCCAGGTAAGTTACTATTCCATATTTGGTTAATTCTTTTAGGCTTACCACATATCAATTGAGACTTTCCTTTCTTTTCTTTAGGTTAGATGCCTTCGACAAAAGAGGACCCACTTTCAGAACAACCAAGTAATTTTAACGATCCATATTTTTATTGATTTTGTTTTAGTGTGAGTTTCATTATTCTTTTACAATCTTAATTTTTTATTTAGTTTGATAGGGAATATACTTTTTAGTATCTTTTATTATTTAGTCTAATTATAAATTTAATTATTACTTAGTAAAGAAAAGTAAATTGTTATTAGTTTCTTTCATAATTTTTGTCTAAATATTTTTGCAGATATTTCGTTATTAGTTTATTCCCGCTTCACTATTTTTCAAATCTGAATATATTGATAATAATTTAAAATATAATATAGTGATATTGTGATTTTATGATTGGATGTATTTATGTTGGGATGTAGGTGTTTTAACAATTCAAGTTGTGTTAATATATTGAGTTTTCTCTAAGCCAACTCAGTTAAACACTGTTAAATTTTTCAAGAACTTGAAAGCCTGGCATGTGCTTTGTTAGGCCAATAGAAAGCAACTGATGTTTCCAACTTATTTGATTTCTCTTGCTAACCAAACAGTGTAGGGTACATGATTTTTTTATTTAAATACGAGAAAGGAACATGAAGATGGATGCTCTTAGGTTACACTTTGATTTTTTGAAGTGAAAATATAATTCAGCCCAACTACACATTTCTTAAAAAAGATATGCTACTTCATGATATAAAAGTGACATTATTTCTTTGTTCTCAATGAACATATCTTAGTTTGGCTACATGTGGGTGCTAAAAATTTATATTGCATAGACAATTGCATGTTGTATAATATGTCAATCGTTCCTGTGACTCTATGCTACCCCTTATTATTAGTGCACTGAATATTATATGATGGAAAGAAGATAGAAACATATTGAAAAGGCTAGAAGCATAACATTCTAACTACAACGGCTAAAATGTTAAATAACTATGGTTTTTTAAAGTTTCATTTTAGATACACCGTAGTTTGAACCGAAAAAGGACACCACGCACTCCCCTCATCTCAACTTAATGTCTACCGAATAGGGAAATTCGAACTAATACAAATATAAAACACTGCACCCATGCCATTACTATTACTCCAAGTACAAGTGCACTTTATGTTTAATTGCTTCCTTTTACACTGAATAGTAACATGCTATGCTTTGGGAGGTCATGTAGTTGTTCGATATTGTTAATCTTTCAATTATTACACAAAACTATTCAATATCTACTTATTACCATGACATTTCTTAGAGATTCCATCCCTTAAATTAACGTATTCATTGTAACTGTTACATCTTCACTGTCAAGGCTCCAAACATACTATTCATCGAGTTTTTCTATCTTCTTCAGGATTGATGGGTTTATTAGAATTGCAGTTGAGGATATCAGAAGCAAACTTACACAACTTTATAGGTATTGTGAAGAGGATGAAATTCTAGAAGCACAGTGAGAAATCCCACAAGCGCTGATCAGTGATACTTATAGGCAGAAATCCATCGTAAAAGGCCATTACACAGAAAGTCTCAACCGCAATCGGGAGAGCTCAATATCGCCCAACTGGGTGATGGCGCTTTATCCATGGGACGGAGAGGAAACTAGCAAAATTAGGGTAATAGAGGCATGCAATTACTTTTGGCTGGATATTTCAACCAGACACACTACTCACCCGGAGAGATTTTCAAATTTTGGGCTCAAAATTTTATTGAAAGTAAATCCTCATGTTTCATATTATTGACTTGAGGATTAAAATTTTATTCGTTTATCTTGAGAATAATCATCCCTGCAATGGATTTTGATCTTGATAAACAGCACAAAGGATATCAAGTTTGAAATAATTAAACAATTCAGATCGTCGTACCTCAATAAAGCCGCACATTCCAAATCTAAGTTAAGTAATATTTCCTTCGTATCACAAAGTTCTTACTTTGACACACAAATTTATCCAAGATATAATTTTATTTTAACTTTCAAGTGCTCTTACTTTATATTACATCAAGCAAAATGTAAATATAGCTGTAACACTTTCTTATATTTTTTTAAATTGAAAGTCTCTTTTTGTAATATCCAAAAAAGGAAATTAAAAAATGTCGTTTTGGAATAGAGAAGGTAGTAAGATACGTATAATACATATCTTAATTTGCTAGATCAATGCAGTTCAAACAAAAATTAAGTAGATTAACTTAGACCAAATCAAACCTTAATGACCAATAAAGTCCTAATCAAAATGTAAAACTTTAACTTCAAATAAAAGCATCATGAGTGCCACATACAACACACCTCACTTTTCAATAGACGATATCACTTTGCCTAACATTCATTTTAACATTTATTTTGTTCTTTCTACTGCTACAAATAATATGAATTTTATACAACTAGATCTTATTCTGATTATTACTTTTTTGAAGTGTTTACGTGTTCTATAATTTATTAATTTTGAAATCGAAATTTTCCAAAAATACATAAGTATTGTGTTCCAAAAAGTGAATAGTAATTTGATTTCTTTTGTTGTGCGATGCATGGGACATAAGTGTGATTTTTATACCACTCCATCTCATTTCGATTACTACATTTTTGAATTGTTTATGTGTTCTATATTTTATTACTTTTGAACTCGAACTTTCCAACAATACATAAGTATTGTGTTCCAAAAAGTGAATAATAATTTGATTTCTTTTGTCCCGTGCATCGCACGGGTGAAATTCTAGTTTTACTCAACATGGAGTGCTCTGCCACCGGTCCTCAAGCATAGTTCCAAACAGGGACGGATCCCGAATTTCGAGTCAAGGGGGGCGCAAATTTTCATTAGTGCAGGAGGTAAAAAAAATCACTAGAGTACGGGCTGATTTTTTTGCTAGTGTAGCGGGTGAATTTTTTTCACTAATGTAAGCCTCTGCGGCTATATTTATTCAAGAAAATTCATTAATACATACACGATGATATTTAAATCTATATATTACATTCTAAGTTTAGACAATCGCAAAATAACTTTAGTTTTATAATTGGAGTGCTCCACAAAAAAGTATTGTTACATTAAAGCGTAAGAAATAGCAAATCAAAGGAAATAATTTGAAAATTAAAAAGGATATATAATATTTTATTTCAAGATAAAGAGTTTATAAGGTACACATTCACCAATACTTTTAAAATAACTTTAACATTGTTTAACTACATGAGTCACAAGGGATTTTCTTAATATTACAATAGTATGTATAAAATTATTTTTTTAGAATAATATTATATTGCTAATTCATACTCCCTCCGTCCCTTAAAACTTTGCCAACTTTCCTTGGGAATTAGTAGCTCCATACGACAATATTGTTTTGAACGTTTAATTTTTTATTAGAGTATATTCTATTCTATTTTCATTGAGAATCTTTTATCCAATAACTTTGAGTACTTGCATTTTTAATTTCAAAACTGTGATTGTTTGACTAATTTCTCATTTAAAATTACTGACTTCTCGATTGTATTTATATTTTGAGATGCGTATACGGAGTATGAGATAAAGTATGATTTTATTTCCAACTATCTTGATAATTAGTGTAGAATAATTCAAGAAAAAGATTGGGTAGGGGTCTAGACTCTAGGGGAGAATATATCACTACTAAAATTTCACCCTTGCCCTACAACTTTTTTGCATACAAATTTAGTTTTGTTGGTAAAGATTTACTTTACCCATAAAATAAGTGATTTATAGGTACTTATCTTTCCATACAAATTTTCTTCTCCATACAAAGAGAATGTGTGGGGTAAGTTCTCATATCCTTCTATATACAAAATGAAGTGGGAAGCCAGCCACTTTTCCCGTCCAAACTTTGTGCTCTCAACGGGGTCCACTTCATTTGATGAATTTATTTTACTTTTTCACTTTTTTTAAATGAAAGATTCTCTCCAATATTGATCTATGTAGCGGATCAGCAGGTCTGGGGTCCACTTCATTTATTGAATTTTGTTTGCTTCAACTATTGCTTGAACCAATGAAAGATTCAGCATTTGCGGTGAAGATTTTGTTGGGTCCGATGTATTGGTCAAACGAATCACTTTAGTGGTTGAGCATTTAATGAAGTGGTTGGGGGTTGAGCATTTAATGTGGTAGTTGGTTGTTCAAACTTATGCATATCGTTAGCCTATAAAAGCTGACATCGGATGTTTTCAAACCAACGCTCCCTTTACTCCCTTCACTCAACATGGCAACAAACACCAACAAAATTCCCAGAACATTGTACTCAATGATAAGGGACGTTGATCATACCAGATCAACCTGGGCCCTCAAAGTTCGAGTTGTGAGGGCCGTTGAAATGTCTGCCCAGTCTAAAGGAGGTCAAAGAATGGAGGGATGAAAATTGTATTAATGATCATCAAGCTCCATTTGCATTTGTATTGATATAACGGAGGGATGAAAATGACTACCTTCATCAAACACCAAGTCTTCACTGCACTCAACATCGCTTAAAAAATCTTCGAAAACCTTTCTCCAGGCTTCGAACAACTTGCTCCAGTCTTCGACCGAGTTGCTTCCTCTGTTTGTATGTTCTGCAACTTACCTTTTTCACGTTGGTATTCATGGCCAGTTACCTTCTTAGTGGATATTAACCATAAAGTTAGGGATTTCTAAAGTTAATCCCAATTTTGATTTCGGCGGTTTTGTTTTGGAAATCTAAAATTACCTTGGTGACCTTTTTAAATGCGTAAACATTTCAAACGATGGAATTTGTTTCATCCCCTGCATCTCAGTGCACAGTTTAAACAATGCAGCCCATACGTATCAGCGGTCTATTTTAGCCAATCTAACGAATGTCGTTAGTTTGTAGTTTGCACTGGAAGCTTGGTTTGTACGGGATCTTGCCCCTATATATATATATATATATGTATATATATATGTGTGTGTGTGTGTATGTATATATATATATGTATGTATTTAGAAAAAGGTGTGGCCAATCAACCAAGGGGTATACATAAATAGACCATATAATATTTTAAGGGTATTTTGGTACAACAACAACAACATCCAAGCCTTATTCACAAAAGATTTTGGAGTCAGCTTTAAGGGTATTTTGGTACTTCAATAAAATATTACATTAAAAATAACATTTTTATCAAACACTCTCACTTTTAACTTTGCCACTTTAATCACTTCTATTCTAAAACACTTTTAATATTGAGCAGTTTTTTCAAAATCACTTTAAAAAATCACTTTTCTAAAAGTAGAAGCGCTCGCAAACACTACCGTAATATGGTTCCCTCAGTCAATACGTTAACTTACTAAAAGTACAAAACTCAATCTGAATCTAATAGATGAACAAGGGTTATTTACATCTACCTCGCTTGGGATTTGGTCAAATTATCAAATAACCCATGAGGTTTCTACAGATTACAAATACATCCCTAGACCAGACAATTATTCTATAAATAACACAAATTTTCCATAATGTAATTTGCGAAAAAATTGGCTGCTCAAAGGGTCTGTAATGTATATAAATTTGAGGGAAAATTTTATAATTTGTTGTTGCAAGGGGAATTAAATGTAATTACCATTGGATATACATATATTACGTATTATGTAACAAGAATTCAACATCAAATTACAATTGCAGCAAATTCATTTTTCATTTTCATTTACCCCAGTGCCGCAAAGGCTCCCACCTACGGTGGGGTAAGGGAGGGTCGGATGTACGCAGTCTTACCCCTGTACTAAAGCACAGAGAGACTGTTTCCGGATGACCCATAGTGAAAATCCCGTCCAAAATTGCATGGACTGACTGCTGCTTCATGACAAAGAAGCGCAAACAGTTGATGCCAGCTTATGATATTGACGATATAGAAAGCCCATTTTGCTTTTTCCAACACCCATTTCCTCCGTGAGAAAGTCCTACATAATAAACAAGAATCAAATAACCAGGACAACATTCCGCAAAAACTCATTCAAAATTCTTGAAAAGAATAAAGGGTCTTTATCTAATATAATACCTTATCAGGGCCCAAATAACGAAATAATTCATTCATAACTCATAAGGCTCTGACAAAACTGCATGATCTGCGGGTCAACATATTGAAGACAAAAAAATACATGAGCTTATAAAAATCTTGTGGCCAACAAATAATAATGTGCTTGAGAATGAACCTCATTGTCACTTATACCTTTTGGGTCAAAATCACTTCCACCTGAAGATCCACCTAGTGTATAAGGAGATGAGACATTCTTCAAAATCTATAACACAAAGAGGACACCACAAACTGAAGCGCCGCAACCAGCGATGCTGCTGCCGCAAAACAAGCTCCTAAAACAATGACGCCCTCCTCTACATTGAATTTCACCAGTCTTGTCTTACCATATGAGCCACGAGACGAACTGCACATATAGAAATGGAACCACACCGGCTGGTTCTCTCCTCATATGTCATAACCAGAATCGTCCCCATCAATCCCTCCCACCCGATCCCGATTCCAGTCCAAGGGATGGTTCATGTTCACAGGTACATAATTGGCTGATCCTAAACCAGATCCATGTCTAGCTCTTGGTAATCCAACAAGCATGAAATGAGGAACATACATTGATGTGTGTTCTTTCATACAACATTTACTGCTTGTCCAATAAAAGCTTGTAATATCTTTAATTCCTAATAATATAAAAAATGCGATTTGACTGAACGTACATGTAAAACAAAAAATTGCCGACTAACCCGGCTCAACCATGGTCATCTCTAGAAGATCACTAGATACATAATTTATGTATGCAATTTGCAATTTTTCTACTATAGTAGATGAATACACTAGGGTGCTAAAACACTAGACTGATGCCACCCAAATTGCCACCGCTACTGCTGTTGTCACCTGTATCGGCACTTCCGTCACCACTACTAAAACATTAACCTTAAATAAGTATTAAAAGCTAAGCCCTAAGAAGGACTAACTTAACCTTAAAACGGCTAACATGCCAAAAAGTATCTGAATAGTTCATAAATAAATTAGAAAAAATTGTATATAATTTTATATAAATAAAGCGGATAGACTCACCGAGAAGAAATAGACATCGAGCAGTACTAAGAGGACATTTCCCAATATAATAACGATAACTAGTAAGTAATATTAATAGAGACAAAATTGTTTACATCGTGTAGCCTAATGTCTAGAGTGATATGTAAAACCTGTTTGGGAAGTGTACACAACTTGTCCAATAAAACGACAGAAATTAACACGAGGAGGAACCAGGGGACAATCTGTTATTCTTTTCTTCCATTTGAGGCAACAAAGTCATTGATCATCTGTTTTAAATGCTGCACACCAAGATAATATTTAATCAGAAATGAGGGTAAATTTCTTTTAAATGAAAACAATACATTTAAAAAATGAGGAACCAAAGTTGGAAGTTTTGGAGATGACCTTCAGTTCTTCATGAAGCACGATGAATATTTTCTTTAGTCGTTTATGCGTCTGTAACAATACATAATATGTAAGAATTGACATATATCATTCTACACACGTGCATACAAAGCAGTTTGTTCATTTTAATTTTTTTTAATATTAAAGTATTAACTGAAAAGATTGTGAAACAAACAGCAGCACGTCGAACAAGGAAAACAAACGCGATTTCTTCCTAAAGTGATTGGTCTGATTAAATGTCTGGCTGTAGTGAGAGCATGATGCAAAATGAATCTCACATCAACCCCTCCACAATCACAAATAAAAAACTTACAGATGCATGTTGGCAATATGAATCCTTTAAGCGTGCCAAAATTTCATAGTATTTCTCCATGTCTTTTCCTTTGCAGGCGTTTAGGTCCTTACCAATTTCACAAAACTCAAACCTAAAGCAATACGGGTACCACATAAAAACACAGTCCATTAAACGATTTGCAGGGAAAATAAGTCCAGAAATGTGACTACAAATGCAAATTTGAAGATACCCATAGGACTTTAAGTTTTTACTCAGCGAGCAATACTTCTCATACTTCTCATGATACTCCTCAACATATTCTTTATACCTGAAATGTAAGAGTAAAGAATGAGAAAAATACGGGTTTCAAAAAAGTATATAGTACTCAGTACTGCAAATGATAGACTCCATTTGTTACTCCCTCCGTCCCTTAAAACTTTGTCAACTTTCCTTTTTTGGATGTCCCACTAACTTTGACACTTTCCCTTTTAGGTAAAAAAATTGTGGTTACATTTAATTCTCTCTCCTCTGCACAAACCTCAACCACACAGTTTTTACTTTATTAATCCCTGTGCCGGTCAAGCTTCGCAAAGTTTTAAAGCACGGAGGGAGTATTATTTATCTGTCTAAGTTGACCATATCATACTGTTTGTCAAAAACTCATTAAAAGCCACCCTCCCATTTATGTTCCTATTGGGATAAAAAGGTAAACCGAATAGTGTAAGGGTGAATTGGGAGGAATACAATAACATAGTATAAGAACATACAAAAAAATCCTAAATAAGAGTAAAAACAATGTGAAATTCGAAAATATGAGTTTTATTTCCCACCCTAAATACGAGTACTTACTGTTGTGATTGGAAAATACTGTCAATAATGACATTAATATTGTCATATTAATGCCTGGTATGCCAAAATATGAATTGGCGATGTGGGACAGATGGGGAGAAAAGTGTGTTCTTAAAAGAGTAGATGGAGTACCATAGTGAAAAGATATCAAGAACTATTTCGTATACAGTATGTCGCATGTAATTTTCAGTCAAGATTCAGGGCATGGATTTGGAAAAGGTAAATAAATAACGTACTCGATTAAACACTTTATTGGTACCCTCAACTCAGGCTCCTTCTTTTCATACTTGAAGTATGAAGAGCTGATCTCATTAGCAGAAGAATTTCTTTTCTCCTGGAAAGCAATATTCCTTGTGTCATATTGGGCTGCACCAGAAGAGAGTTTTTCATTATTACTTTCTCCATTGAAGATGACTAGGCTCCCTCCTTTCATATTATGTCGCTCTTCGCCATTCACTTCAACAGCTTTATTACTATGGTATTCCACCACACTGTGATCAACTGCAGAACATTGTTGATAAAAAGGTTGTGAATCAACATGTGTTTGGTACTTGTCCTGAACAACGTCCTTGGCAAAAAGTGGGTCCATACTAAAAGAAACCTGTTTTTTATGCGTGTTTCCAGTTTTTCCGCTCTTAGTGGCGGCAGGTTTATCGTCCTGCTTTCCGTTAACAACTCCTTCAGTGACAAGCTTATTCTCTATAAGACGTGAATCAGCATTAACATCAGTCATTTCCACATCTGGTAAGTCTTTCTCGATCTCCAAGATGTCTGAAACATGTGTATATTCCTTTTCACCAATCCAGAATTGGGAGGGTTTGGCATCTTGAGATGTCAATGAAATGGGAAATTTCAGTAACCCATTTTCAGAAGCTTTCTGTTCCCCCCTGTCACTATCACTTCCCATGATATCTAAACCGCCATTTGATGACTTACTGTTAGAGGACATGTCACTTTCACATTCCACAGGGCTTCTACTTCTGCTTTTGTCACTTGCACTTTCACTGTCACTAGAGACACCTGTTGGATCTTCAATGTGGTCAGAACCTTTTTGCTCAACAAAGCAGTCAGGTGACGGTCTGACCCAAGAGGTTGGTGTGTCTTCAAGTTTAGAACTCAACTGTAACTTCCCTTCCAATGCTTTAGTATCAGTCATTATTGACAAACTAGTTTCTGGAACAAGAATTTCATGCTTATTATGGGTAGATGGTGTGTGATCTTTATTCTCTGCAGAACTACAAAATAACAGTAGAACTTTAGCAGTAAGAGACCCTGATAGTAGAATAAGACTACCAAAGAGGTATTATAAGGGTATGTTTGGATGGACGGTTTTGGAGAGAAAGGCTTTGGCAGGGTTAGTCTATATCTTGATAAACATTCTACTCCCTTCGTCTCTATTTAATATTTTAATCATCTTACATTAACTTTGCACAGAGTTGTAAGAAAATGAATTGTGTGGTTGATATTTAATCAGAGAGTTCAAAGGTAAGAATCAACATCGAACATACAGTTCTTTCCTTGAAGAAAATATGAAGATTGTTTATTGATTCGGATAGAGCAAAAAAAAAGGTGAGATGAAAAGGGGACAAAGCAATTGAAAACCTTCCCTCCTAACCCCTCACCCCACCCAAGCCCTCCATCCAAAAAAGCTCCTCAAGTTATAAGGCGAAGTGCCAACATGACTTCATAAAATTAAAACCAATTATGGGAAAGCATAGGAAAAATGTTACTCTAATGAACTCATGTAGCTTCACGAAAATGGTAGCTACTACTCCATATAACTTCAGACAAATCCCAACAGTGTTTAGGATTTGGTTTACTGGAGAGGTCCAAGCAAATGACAGATGCCCTTTATGATTACAACGTCCTTGATTACCCAACAGTGTTTTGTGAGGTCAAGTACCCTAGGAAATGAACTTTCAAGGAAAATAACATATTGCCATGGAGCTCGAGTTCCCAAAGAATAATGATTTTAGTTAATACGAAACATAACAAATTAATAATCCACTGTTAAGGCTTTGATTCCTGTAATGTGCTTGAACTTGCATTCACAGAAAATGGCACAAAATTGAGTGTCGCGAAAAGCCTGAACATATTAGCATTACCTTCCACTTCCAGCTGTATATTTCTTGAGAGCTTCTCTCTCCATTCCTGGTTTAAGAAAATATCTTCCTGGAGCCCGAAAGATTGCAACCTAATGTGCGCATTACATGAGACAAGAAAACCACTGTTCTTTTTAACTTGCGCATATTATTCAAGCGATTTCCTTTTACACTTACCCTTTTGAGCAAAATCTCGATTTCCCTTGCTGAGTTTGGAAAGGCCTCTTGAACAGCTTTATCCAATGCCTAACAATTCAGAAGAACTCATTTACTGATGTGACTCATTTACAGAGTTTAATGAACTATGATATATGAACACACTCAACAACTCTATCCAGGGAAATAACACCATCGACAAACAGAAATTTAAAATCAGTGGATTGAACTCTCACAAAGATTAAGCTAAACTTATATGTCTTTCAATTATGTTATTCACATACCTTGAGGGTCATTCCATTTGATTGGTTGTCCATGAGTAAAGTTAACAACATGCACTGCAGATCCGGAACTTTGGAACTTGTGCTATTCTTGTGTCCAGATGAAGTTGAAGGTCCATTTGATGGAGTAACTGTAGATAGATCAGATACATGAGAAGCTTTAGGCTGGCTTCTTGATGTGCATCCGTAGTTGGAACAAGAACAAGAGTTGCAAGAGACATCAAGACTTTGGGATCGATTCTTAAATAAATCAATTCATGTAAAGCTTAACATATGTTGGGTGAATACATAAAGAAATGAGTCCATTAAGACACCATAAGAACTTAATCTCAACTACCTGAAAGTGGCTCCACTTTTCTCTTTCTCTTAGGTGGTTGCTTGAAAGCCATTTTACATGGAGTACCTGAAAGATATGGTTCTGTTTGAATTCCAGAAAATACAAGGAAAAGACTGGAAATTTTGAAGGAAAGAAAACTTGAGGGAAAATAAAATATACTCAAAACTTGATAAATTATTTTAGATTTTTGCTCGAACTCATTATTACTATCTGTTTCTATGGTATAGAATAAAGAATCTAAATATTAGGGGGGGTGTGCACAACGCATCCCCCGCTAAGCAAGGGTTAGTGGAAGGGTCCCATCACACATGTGTACTGTAGAACCTTAGTACCTTACTATGCATTTTTGCAAGAGGCAACTTATTAGAACCTGTGACCTCAAGGTCACACTGCAACACCTCACCGGTGCGACAAAGCTCTTGTTCTCTAAGGAATCCCAATATGTATTAAAAAAAATGAAAAATATTTAAATTTCCACTATTTTTTCAAGGTAAAACCAAGCACAATAAAGTAATCCCTCCATCCCAATTTGATTTGCAAAATTTTCTATTTTGGTTGTCCCAAATTTTTTTTCCACTTCCTATTTAGGCATGTAAATATGTATAGTGACAAACTTACCCTTGCAATTACATTTTTCATTAACTTAGAGGCATCTACTTTATGCAAACAACAACAACATCCAAGCCTTAATCCCAAAAGATTTTGGGATCAACTAACATGAATCGATCCATCATATCGATGCCAAAAAGAGAAGACAGACAACAAGAAGAAAAGGAAAAGGCCAAAAAAAAAGTAAAATAAAACAAATAAGATAAAGATAAATAAATATAAGATAACAATAACATAGGAATATAAGATAAAGATAAAAAGATACAAGAGCATAAAAAAGCTAGAAGATAAAAATAACATAAGAACACAAAAATATAAAGAAGATAAACGATAAAAGAAAAAGAGACCGGGAAAATAGAAAATAGATCAATCGTCCACACGAATGTGCGCCATCCACTTTGCTCTCTCTAAAGTCATACTCTCATCCAACCCAAGAAGACTCATATCGGTTATGATTCCTCTAATCCAAGTCTGTTTGGGTCTTCCCTCCCTCTCCTGACTATCTTTTCTCCCCGCCTCTCAAGTCATCTAACAAGTGCATCATTCGGTTCACACATGCCCAAACCACCGCAAACGGGACTCTTGCATCTTATCTTCTATAGGTGCTACTCCCACCTTTTGTCTGATTATCTCATTCCTCAAGCGGTCTTTTCTGGTATGTCCACACATCCAACGCAACATACACATCTCAGCCACACTCATTTATGGAAGATGGGAAAAATAGTAAAACCGGTCTTCATTTATTGTTGTTTTACACAATTCTTGTGCCACTCAAATTCTGTAAAATAAATTGGGAAGGGACGGAGGAAGTTACATTATTTGGCAACTTTTTTTGTTCCCTAGTATTCTCTGACATCCAAACATACTTTATGTGAGTTTCACTTCAGTGCAAATGTAAACTGTCGAGGTAAGAAAAACTTGTATCTTGCAAAATGTCACACATTTGACCTCGGCCAGTTACAAACATATAAATTTTTCAGGGATACTTGAGAGAAAGGTTTACCTTCTTCAGCAGCTGCAGCCTTCATTTCACTCTTTGTAGATGTATTTCGAGAATCTAAAACAATGGTTCTGTTTCCAAATGCCAGAGGGTGTATATATTATACGGATATATGATTAGCGAAAAATAAACAATGTAGATTACAAATATTATTATAAAATAAAAAACTGATAGTTAAGTATTCAATTAAATACAACAGCTATGGTGAAGAAAACAAAAACATACTTGCGTGATTTGGACTTGCGCTCGGCTTCCTCAGATCGCATTTTAACATGGTTTTTAGTTGATTCATCCAAAACACGCTGTACATTTACCTTTCTCCAAGCACTACCCGATTCTACTAGCAATCCAATTCCATCCTCCTCACTTTGGCGTTCTTCGTAAATATCACAGAGGTCTCCGCTGTCCCGTGACCATGTGAATCTGAAGTCTTTACCACCAACACTTATAACCTGGTTAAAAAATCAATTAAAGCTAAGAACAGCTGACAATAAGCATGTTGGATCTCTAAACAACTAACATCTAAACAATTACAAGAACTGTCTACAACAGTCACGGAGTCTACTCAACTCAAACATTTTTCCTTCCCAACCTCTCGGATCAAGTTTACATTATAAGAACTTTGCCAAGTTCAGTCCATTTTCAACATGGAAATAGATAAATAAAGAAGTCACATAAGATGCAAAATAATTAGCAGATCAATCTCTATGGTGATCCAGAAAATTGCCCCTAAACAGTTTTGAAGTCTCAAAGCATAGACACTTTTTTTCTATGTCATCCAAGGGTAAATGTTTTCTAAGAGATAGTGATTTTTGCAAAATGGAAAGAATATGGGAGTGTGATAAATTTTAAATTTCTCACCCCGACAGAACAAGCTAGCAATTCTTCTTGTTTCTTAATTCTTGTTCTTTAGTCATTTGAACCCACAGAACCCCTCAATCACCTACACCCAAATATACTACCGGTATGACTTCACTACATCTTAATAAATTTGAAAGGAAGTAAATCCCTGACTTCTTCATAATGCAGTGAACAGGCCTAAAATAATAACCCTGGCGTCAAAATATAAAAAGACGGTTAATTGAGAAATACAGCGATGAAAACTGACATTTCCAGCTGAGTTATTTGCTTTTGAGCCAAACTTGATCTGCGTTGTAGCGCCATGAGCCTCCGATCGCTTGATCTCATCCACTAAGTCCGGCGCCAATCGAATTATTGTCGCAAAGTACAAAGAGTTCCCGTTAACAAGGTTAAAAGTCTCATCTGCCACATTGGAAGGAGCTGGAGCCGTGGAAGCAGCGGCGGTACTGCGGTTGCGGGGACCAGTTACCTCACTGCCGAGTAGGCGTTCGCCTGGGGCAGCTGAAGACCTGCGAATAGTCGGCTGTTGAAAGTTGGATTTGATTTGGCGCTTGCCAACGCCTCCGTCTTGGCTACCGCCACTACCTCGGGCGCGCTTTTTGGAGCATCCGCCGCCGCGTGCGCGCTTTCTGGAGCCTCCGGGCATCATACTGGGGTTTCAACTTTCAAGGTGCAGAAGGCTGCTGAGTGCTGACTGCTGAGTAGAGCAAATTATGAACCCGTTTGGTAGCACGAAAATCGACTGATTTGGCTGATTCTGCTGATTTAAGAAAAAAATATTTTTAAAATATATTTTATCAATAAAATAAAGAAAAAATTATATGTAAAAATAGCTAAAATGGTCATCTACAGTAACTTCAGTCAATACAGCCAGAAAGGTAACTTCAACCTTACTTTTTCTGCTTATTACATAATTCAGCGCGCGGAAGCAAAATTTACGTGTTTGGTAAAAAAGTTGGTTGATAAGCCTGATAAGCCGAAAATGAGGGTTGCCAAACGGCCTCTATATCGTAATGTCATTACTTTTACTTTACAAAAGAAGAGAATTCGGTAAAGATATTCAAGGTACCATACATTTGTCCACGTACATTTGTCCACATTGACAAATCATTTAAATTATTTAAATTATTTAAATTTAAATTAAAAATGATGTAATGATTTGAACCAATCAAGTGAGTGATAGGTACGGTATCCCATTTTTTAAATGGGTACCGGAGTTGTCGCCTTCCCTAAATAGGAGTAAAGAAGTTTTGAAATTCCAAAATAGAAGTACCATGTTTTTTATTCCTTGAATGGGAGTAATTTTTTGCCAAGTTTGGCATTAATAGGCTTTAAAACATGACATTTTTTTTCAAACTTGGCAAATTACTCCTATTCAAGGAATAAAAAACATGGTACTTCTATTTTGGAATTTCAAAACTTCTATTTTGAAAGTTGGCATTAATAGGCTTTAAAACATGACATTTTGAAAGTTGACACACCTATTTTGGAATTTCAAAACGTTTTTGCTCCTATTTAGAGCAATTTCAAATTACTGCATCACCATAACTGTCTATGGAGTATTTTTTTGTCAATTTCATCTCTCTTGAAATTAGTTAGATGGTCAATTTTTAAGTTATCTCATATGGAATATTGGAATGTTTTAATTTTGTTGTTGTTGTTTTAGTTTTGGTATTAAATACTTCTCGTGTCCCTCAATACTTTGTCATGTTTGACTGATACGAGAAATAATAAAGTAAAAATTGTGTGGTTGAGATATATGCAGAGGAGAGAGAAATAACAGGAACCATGAATTCATTGATTAAAAGAGAAAGTGACAAAATTTTTGGGACATCTAAAAAGGGAAAGATGACAACGTTATAAGAGACGGAGGGAGTACATTTTTTTATTCTTACATTATTCATATTTTTTTAAATAAAGGCTTATATCGATAATTCAACAACATGCAAATAATTCATCAGACAAACACTCTTAATTTGGTCAAAACAGCCCTAAGATTAAACATATAGTTACTTCCGCAAGAATCCGTGCAGCATTCGCTAACCACTGAATAGGTAATAGCCTGTGAAGACCAAGAGGAGAAACTTGTCTCTTATAACCGTCTTAAACATCTCAAGAACATCACTGAGACAATCAAAACAAAGCCGAAGTAAAAAAAGCTTAAAGAGAAAAATAAAGCTGAAAATACAAATAGAACAATAAATCGCAGGTGGCTTGATTCAATCATGAAGCCCTTGTTGAGCACAATAAAGGTCAATGTATACGCGACTTTGAACATAGGGAGGGGGAACACGCCTAGGCTCGGGTGGCCCAAAATAGGAAGGATGCTTTTTGCACGGCAGGTGCCAAACGATATTGGCGGATTGGTCCACTGGAGTTTCACAAGCTATTGATGTCCGGGAAGTTTTAGGATGGATCAATGACTAGGGGTGGTCAAGAATAAAATTGGAAAGAGGTTCTCAATTGGTGGTTGGAGGCTTATTAAACATAAGCGGAGAAACGTATTTCGGCATGATTATTGAAGACATTAGACACATTCTTCGGGATGAAGTACGGAGTACATTGCAAGAGGTCCGTGAATGGAGTAGCCCATAAATTAGCAGGGTTGCACTTTCAATGGATGGTTTTCTACTGTTTTTATATCCATCTGATTGTATTTCGAGATTTTTGTGCTCAAACATTTTAATTTGGAACATTATTTAAATATTTACAATATTTTTATCCATTAAATATTGTTCGATTGATCACTTTTTAATAATAGATTTTATTAATATGTTAAAATATTTAATATGTTATGGTATGTTTAAATATTTAATATGTTATCATTATATCTACAATATTTTTATCCATTAAATATTACTCGTATTCGATTGATCACTTTTTAATAATAGATTTTATTTCTCTTTATTGAAAGTGCCTATTTTTGTTTTATGTTTGGAAAATGGACAAATAGGCACGTACAACACTAAAAAAATTATTAATTGCTCAAACATACTCAATAAAACATCTTAAGAAAAAGAAAAAAGAAATAATATCAATGTGGGTCACCATGTATGTACATTTAACGGCTAACCGGTTTTTAACTTGATAAATTTTTTTTTAAATATTTTTCAAAAGTTCAAGTGCTTGATTGAGTATGAGAAATCATTATAGCTCAACTGGATTGTGAAATGGTATCCTCCTTTCCAGGACTAAATATGAAATTCACATCGTTGAAGTTCAGATTTTATGTATCCTAAAAGGCGTTGAGGCGGTGAAAAGCTTCTTATTTCCAAACTTGATTTGACACAACCTAACATTAACTTCCTTTAACATGAAAGTCTAATAATAAATGTTGTGCTTCATAATAGTTCAACTAAGTGACAATATTATTTTCACACCCATAGTATAATTAATTTATATTTGACTACTTCATTCGCGTACACACCACGGGTAGAGATACTAATTTATTAATAAAGCAATATTATTTGTAAATGTGTTAATAAAATGATTTGATCTACATTGCACAAAGCGACACATGTCAAATATTTATAATTGTCATTATACATGAATAATCCATGAATATTAATTTCACCACTCATGAAAAACACATTTTTGCCACTATTTTTAATTAGTGTCATTTTTTGTCACAAGAGTTTTTCATATTTTGTTCAGTAATAGTTACAAAATGAAGTTTGGTGAGTGGTGAGTTTGCATGTTTTGAATGGTGACAAATATTTATGATTACCACCATACATGAATAATGTACTATTACTGATTTCATCACAAAGTGTACGTAATGCTTTATTGACTACATATTTTTTTTGTCATTATACCCTTTTCATGACACTTTTTATTATTATCATCATAAATAATTATAGCTGATAGCTAGAAAAAATTGTAATTACGACATGGCTGTTTAAAGATGGTTTTAAATTTTAACTATGACAAAATAAGTAATTTGATTTAATGTGAGACGGAACATGAATTGGCCCTAGAAAAACCCTAGGCGGTGAGCTCCTAGACGATTTAATCTTCTGACTTCTTCTCTCAAATTGGCAAGAGTTTTGATGGTTGCGATTCTCCTCTTGACAGTAATGAATCATATACGACGATGGCTCTTTTTTTCTATATTCTAGGGTTCTTTTTTTGGCACGACATCTTCTTTGGTCGAGAGTTATGTCAGCTTCAGGTGAGCGTGTATTTTGTTCTTCTCCTCACAATGTCTAGAGGTTGTGTCTTCATCGTCGGTGTAACCGATCGAATTGTTCATTATTCATGGTCGGCAAGACATGTTCAACCTACTTATTCTGAAACTTCAATTATTCAACATCCTCCTGAACCACCATCTCACCCGAAGGAAAAGATAGTGCTCAACTGGATCTCCTTTTCAATGGTTGGTCAAACTAATGATCCGGACAATTTATGCTCAGCTGGATTTTCTTTGTTGGTTGCAGGTCAAACCAATTCTCCCTTTTCTGATGGTTGGTGAAGTTGGATCTTTTAATTTTATTTTTTATTTTTTATTTGAAATAGCTAGAAAAGCGACACAACTACTAGACTAGACTACATTATTGCGAGGTTAACGATTTGGAAGAGTTCATTGGATCTTTCTCGTTCTATGTTTCATCTCATTGTATACGTAGCCTTATGCTATTCATTCTCTTGTATATTTGCTATCTTTTAATAATAAATAAGTTATTTAATTTCAAAAAAAGTAATTTGGACAATATTGTTGGATACAAGTCCAAAATTCAAATAATACATTGTGAATTGTCACAAAAAACTATGTTTTTATTGACAATTCGAAATTTCATCATTTGTTATAATTCGTATTAAGTATTGATGACAGTAAGATCATTATATTATAAATATGACACGTTTGGGATAATAAAAATTAATTAATAATGATGACAAAGTGTTAAAACGTTATCAAAATTGTCATATGCGGTAGTATAGTTGATAAATATTAATGAATTTGATTTTACGAAAAGTTTATTCCAAACAATGAATTGCCTAATCATTTCAAATTCACAGATGATCGATAATTTTTTTAAAAAAACTTTTCTTTGCTTTATTTCAACAATCTTATCATAATACATAAAAAGTGATGATTGAGCATATAAACTTTTAATATGTAAGTTTAAGTTAATGTTACATATTTAAAAAATAAATAAAGAGAAAACGGTGCTAAATAGAACTAAAATCCATCTTTTTTACCCATACAAGAGTATGACATTTTTTATTATTCCTAAATAGCAGTATTTTCAGCATTAATACCTCATTTGCCCCTTATTTAATTAATCGCACCAACTATGTACCTTCTCTTCTATTTGTAGATGTCTTCTTCCATTATCTACTTAAGCCGAACAATATAAACTCATATTAGGATGCATATATATCGCCATATCCAGGAGAATTGTCCCAAGTTGAAGTTCTGCAACATACTCTGATCCCGATGATTGCCATATAACGATTACAACTAAAATTGATCTCTGCATATAAAACCATGATGACGATTGCCAATTGGAAATAAGACACTACCAATCTAGAGGGGCTACACATGGACCCCTAGCCAAAATGGGACTTGTGCACAACAAAAATTCTAGGACTTTGCTAAACAACGAGCAACGACAACCAACCTTGGAGTGTCACCGAGTAGCCATTCCAAATATGGTAGTCGGAGTGAAGTAGTTCGTA